AAGAAATAGTTTCAATAAGGATTACTTTATGGGTTTGGTAACCTAACAAACCTGTTTGGGTTGGTTTTTTTTTTTTGGAAAGTTCTTTCTAATGTATTGTATATTGCAAAATGTAAAAGCAATCTGTTCCTTATTACCATATCTGTGCATTGTTATCAATTAGGTAGGTTCATATCCAATCCCATGAAAAGAATACACAGGTTTTATTTGTGCTCCAGAACAATACAGATTATCTTCACACTCTGTTCTCTTGCTACCCCAGCTCAACTGAAACTCAGGGAATTTTAGCTCTTTGTTCTCTTGCTACCTCAGCTCAACTGAAACTCAGGGAATTTTATTTATTCTATTTAAGTCATTTTCAGAGCAAAATTATAAGCTTTCAGATGACTTAGAACTGGCCACTTTTGTGCTGGAGTGTGAAAGGGATCAGGTATGCAACTGGAAAAGTAAAGAGTTGATCTGGTGTCTCCCCAGTGGAGTTCTGCTTTCCCCTATTTAGATGCTTTCCCCTATATATTCCCAACTGTAAGGCATAAAGACCCTGTGGGCACAACCAGTGAAGTGTGAACCAGGCAGGAACTTACTCCCTATGATTCTGGACACAACCCTGAGCCATGTGCTCTAGGGTGGCCCTGCTGGAGTAGGGAGGTTGGACCAAATGACCCATTGTGGTCCCTTCCAACCTCACTGATTCTGTGATGTCAAACTTCAGCAACTATTCCAGTTCAATTTGCATTACACAAATGAACCAACCTTGCATTTTAGAGATTAATACTGGTTAAGAGTTCCCAGGGGCTGTGCTTGTGTTTACTTTCCCAGGTGTGTCTAGGGTTTCCCTGTAGTCCAAAGAGACAGCAGTTAGGGGCTGCTTACAGTTTCCTTGCTGTGAAGGTAGCATATGTGGGCTGTCCCACAGCCTGAACCAAACCAGACCCAGTATAGAATAAAAGTGCATTACACATAAACCTGGAAACTTGGTGGCACCCCTGGATCCTCTCAGTGTTTTACCTGAGAGCTGAAAGCAAGTGTAAAAGGAACCAACCAGCCAACCCACCCACCCAGCTGGCCTGGAATTGGGCTGTCTTTTTTCCCCTGATGATAAATAACTAGCTTTGTTGTGATTGCTGTTGTTGAGAATTGATGAATATTGATTAAACATTGGGAAAGGTTGGGATTTATCAGGTACAAGATAAGATTTCTGGTCAACCCAGAGAGGGAGTCCTTTTCTGTCACACTGCCCTGCCAGCAGCTGAGTGGCAATACTCATGGGTCTCTCATGCTTCAGTGAGATCCTTAACCTGTTGCTTACCCCAGCCCTAGCTCTAACACTACTACTAATCTATTGTCAATTTTTCTCTTTCTCTTTATTTCACCAAACAAAAAATTGTCAGATCTGTTTTAGCCTGATGCAGAATGAAAACACATCCCAAAACCCTGAAATCTATCAGGAATTAATTCTTATATTTAGACATATTTAGATATCAGAGTTCACTGTCTACTTGATGGTAAGAGGCAGTAAAATGTAGAATCAAGGCAGTTCATGTTGGTCCTACAAATTTTCAAGATGTTTGGGTTAGATTATAGGAAAAAACTGTGGTAATATTGTTAAACCTATTGTCAATTTTTCTCTTTCTTTTTATTTCATAAAACAAAAAATTGTCAGATCTGTTTCAGCCTGATGCAGAATGAAAACACATCCCAAAACCTTGAAATCTATCAGGAATTAATTCTTATATTTAGACAGGGCCAGGGTATCAGAGTTCAATGTCTACTTGATGGTAAGAGGCAGTAAAATGTAGAATCAAGGCAGTTCATGTTGGTCCTACAAATTTTCAAGATGTTTGGGTTAGATTATAGGAAAAAACTGTGGTAATATTGCTAAAGTAGCTATAATTGCAAATTCCAACCTTTTTCCTATGTTTGCAGCATAATCTTAGTTAAAATTCACTCCATCTTCCTTTGCTGCTACAAGTCTATCATAATCCCTTTTTTACTTGCACAATTTACAAACACTTCAAGGATGTTGCTCAGCTGAAAACAAAGACTTCCAATCACTTTTTTTTTTCCCCAAAGAGGCAAGAAAGCAAAATGGAGAAAGGAAAAAACCAGAAACAACAAGCTGAACTCAGACTGATTCATCCTAGACGATCACTATCTATTTCCCTTTCTTTCCCTGGGAATTGATCTGAATGCTAACTCTCATAGGGACTGACCGATTTAGCAAACCCAGTTAACATTTCACAGCAGCTTTCCTTCATTGTTTTGCCAGTGGAAAACCCAGGCAGTTGCAAGTGACCGTGGATTTCTTGTTAAAGTTTGTTAAAAATACCAAGATAACTATCTTTGAGGTAGTTCTTTCATTTCAAATGGAGAAACAGGCTCAGTAACAAGGAAACCCTATATGTTCTCTTCACCACAGGGCAGATGACTCCACAATTGGCATATTCTTTAGTTCCTAAGGATTTGCTACACTTTCTCAAAAGAGTTAAAACCACTAGGAAGGCAAGGTGCAGACTGCTAGACCATGCTGAGGTCTTTATTCAGACAGAGGAGGAAATTTTCAGGGCCTCCCTGAGTGTCTGACTGTTTGTGGCCCAATCTAAACCTTGAATAAGAACTTCCTTATGAAGGTTTGAGAAAGAAGAGTTTCTGCTGCCAGCTGTATGAAGGCTTAGGACCTAATCTGACTACTACTATATGGATAAAACCTGTGAAAGAGCAAAACTTGACAATTTTAAATTCCTCTTTGGATGACTTCCTGGTGTTGCTGGTCACTGAATGATTCTTCATAGCCTTCTATTCTAGCACTAAACGTAAAAAAAAAATAATCACATGCATTATTTCATGGGATTAGTATTTAACCAGCTTATTAATATCATATTGAATTTTCTCTTCTATTTACAGGCGTGGCAGGAACCAGCATGCACACAGGCTGTCCCCTGCAGAGGTGGAGTCCATGAGAGATGTCTTGTCACACAACCTGTACCAAGTGCGACAAAGGGTGTGTGAGCCGCCGACTGTCGCGCACTGTTTGCACACCCAGAGCTCTTGTTTGCCCTCCCTGTAGCTCAGCACAGATGACAACAGCACCAGCACCAGCCCCTGGGACTCCTGGTGGGAACCCACAGCTGCTCCATCCTGGGAAAGGGAAGCAGGGAAGAATCATAGAATCATAGAATCAACCAGGTTGGAAGAGACCTCAAAGATCATCAATCCAACCCTACCGTGGTCACTAGATTATGGCACTAAGTGCCACATCCAGTCTCAGCTTGAAAACCTCCAGGGATGGTGAATCCACCACCTCCCTGGGCAGCACATTCCACTGTCTGATCACTCTCTCTGTAAAAAATCTCTTCCTAATATCCAACCTAACCCTCCCCTGGCAGAGCTTGAGTCTGTGCCCTCTTGTCCTGCTGCTGGTTGCCTGGGAGAAGAGACCAACCCCCACCTGACTCCAACCTCTGGAGGATTGTAGAAAAAGAAGTTGTAGAAATAGAAGCTCGGGCTTGTGCCTGTAGCTAGGTGGAATAAAGGAAAGCTGATTTTCTTTTTCCCCATCAGCTTTTCACCCTGACAGCAGCACGAAAAGTCAGGGAAATCTGTGTCTGAGCTGTAGAGGTCAGGCTTTCCTCGCTGCACAGCTCTCTGGATGGGAAAGAGCATTCCCGAGGTTGGAGCACTCCTGGCAGCCTCAGGGGTCTGCTGGCTCCTGGGAAGAGGCATTGGCTGGAAAGTCTCCAGCAGAACTCCAGTGTGGAGGTGTTAGGACTTAGTGCCGGGAACTCACCCTGCGTGGGAGCCACAGTTTACCCGCACCAAGGGAGGAAAAAGGAGCAAAAAATATTCCATCTCCTCCGGAGCTTGACAAATCAGAGTTGTGTTTTTCCCTCCCCCATAGAACTGGAGTGATAATACCTCAGCATGTTTTGCAGAAATTCATACTGATCCTGATGCAGCCTAGTGTATCTACTTAATGTAATTTGAGGCTACAAATAGACAATTTAGTGCCTGCCCAGAGCAAAGAGCAATGAGCTCTTCTCAGACTGGAGAAGAGAAGGTTTTGTGGGGACCTCATAGCACCTTTCAGTGTCTGAAAGAGCTATAGGGAAGCTGGAAAGGGACTCTGTTAGGAGCTGCAGTGACAGGAGAAGGGGCAATAGGTACAAATTGAAAGAGGGGAAATTTAGGTTAGATATCAGGAAAAAGGGTTTTACTATGAGAGTGGTGAGACACTGGCACAGGTTGCCCAGGGAAGTAGGAGATGCCCCAACCCTGGCAGTGTTCAAAGCAGGTTGGGTGAAACCCTGACTAGTGGAAGGTGTCCCAGCCCATGGCAGGAGGTTGGGACTGGATGATCTCTAAGCTCTATTCCAACCCCTAAAATTCTAATATTCCATGATTCTATACATTACAGTAGCCTTAACATTATCCTGACTAACAGGGCTAACTCACATAACACATGTAGTAGAGAATGCTAGGCCCTGCTCATTCAAATGTAGCATTATTAACATGATATTCATTCCTAATATTGTTTAATTTGCCATGGCTAATTATCATTACGATATTAATTTCTTATCTTACCAGCAACAATTTGCATATATGGTTATCTCTTAAATTACTGAAATGAAGTCTCTCTCTTCAAAATCAATTACAGTAATGACTATTTGCACCAGTCACTTCCTATGTGGTATTGAGAACTGTGTGCTTTGGGAAATGAAAGATTGGAAGTAAAATAATGCCACTCCTAATACTTCCTTTTCAGCTCTGAAGGCCTGGTAATGCTCTGGGCTCAGCAGAACAGCTTCACAAGGAGCCTTGCAAAGGAAGCTGAGATCAGATTCTGCTTTTTAGGAGGGCTTATAAATTTAAGTGAATTTTTCACTTTAAGGCAGATCATTATTTCTCTCATTTCACTGGAATTGTGCCTTAAATTAAAAAGCTTGTCCTTAAAAATGCTCAGTTGCAGGGTGATATTAATTTGTAATTTGTCCAAATATAGAAAGAAAACTCAGCTATCCATCTCATTCTGGAGATGTATTCTTGTAACACCCTAAATCAAAAACTGAGCACACCTGCAATTTGTTCCTAGCTCAGTAATATGAGAACCAAAGCTCAGAGGTGAGTTAGCCACTTCTCTCTCTCTTGGGACCTGCCTCCTATCTGTAGCTCCCAATTGTGTGACGTGAAAAGGGATGACAAAGGGAGGACAAGCTTGGAGACGTTAACAGCCTTCTGTAGGTAGGTTATATTTTTATGTATGTGCATTTTGAGCATTAAAAATGGCACCAAGATGCAGCCCTTGAGCTCTGAGACTTAGAGCTGTGTTCATGCTTCCTCCCATCTTGCTTTGCAGCACTGAGGTTAGTGTGGAGCTGCATTTTCCCATGTGAAACCAAAGAGATCTGTGCTATGTTGGTGGCCAAGCTGAGGGAGATGTCCCTCTGGCCCCATGGTTGACCAGATTTATTGCCATTCCAAATGCCATGAAAATCTGGATGCATTTTCTCTTTCAGACACCAGCATACAACCGACATAACCTACTTACCAACACAAATGAGAAACAAGCACAAGAAATCCTCATCCGTCGGCAGCACAGCCTGAGGGAGAGTTGCAGGAAGGGGAACAGCTTGCCTTGGGGTAGACAGGTACCTGTTATGTAAACTATTTATGTAAAAATGCCTCTGCTTCTTTGCAAATATGCAAAGAGATGACCATTTTTATATGGTTTTTGCTATAGTTAAAATGGATACTTCCCCCAGTGTACTCGTGCAGCACTTCAGAAGAAAGAGCTTCACTTAACATATGGACAGCAATGTTTTTATGTCCTACCTCTACATGTTGGTCAGATATCAGCTGCTCTGGCTGTATGTAGAAAAATAATATAACTTGCATTGGTTTTGCATGTGCAAAATGTAATATAATCAGAACAGGTCTGCTGCAAAGCCCTGACACCTTCAGCTGGTAGTCTGAGCTCTCAATCAGTAAGAGGTTTTTCTGACCTAAGTAAGCATTGGACAGCATAGACTTTTACAGCTGAGATTATCACAGTTGAGGAAGAGAAAAAAGTTCTTGCTGGATAGATTAATTTTATTTAAATTTGTCACCTGAAATAGGGAAGGTGAATCTTAGAAGAATTTATTTCTCTGCTGACTGTAAAAATACCCTCTAGGGCTGTTATATCAAAGAGATACTTTCACTGGAGCTGCCATTGAGTTCAACCATCCAAGCCAAGCATTGATCATATTCATACCTCTCAAAATTTGGCTCCAAAGGTGCAGCATATAACCAACCTTTATCATCCCACCAAGTAAGTGCTGGGTGGAGACAATCACAGATCCTGACGAATTCCTGTCTCATACACAGGTCAACAGCACAGAAGTACGTTACCTCTCTCTGCCCCAGGGCCCCAGCAGACCTGCTAGACGAAAAGCCAGGCATGTGACTTTTACAGGTAATGGAAGTGCTTTACTCTATATCCTACTCCAGTAGCAAAAGAATCTTGACCAGTTGTTCAGTGTATTTAACAGTACTAAGTGAATATTCCCTTGGAAGTCTCTGGTCTCTTTAAATCATAAGAATCATAGAATTTTGGGGGTTGGAATGGACCTTACAGATCATCTAGTCCCAACCTCCTGCCCTGGGCAGGGACACCTCCCACCAGAGCAGGTTGCTCAAGGCTCATCCAACCTGGCTGTGAACACTGCCAGGGTTGGGGCAGCCACAGCCTCCCTGGGCAACCTGTGCCAGTGTCTCACCACTCTCATAGTAAAACCCTTTTTCCTGATACCTAACCTAAATTTCCCCTCTTTCAATTTGTACCTATTGCCCCTTCTCCTGTCCTGTCACTGCCTAACAGAGCCCCTCTCCAGCTTCCCTGTAGGTTCTTCTGATACTGGAAGGCTGCTATGAGGTCTCCACACAACTTTCTCTTCTCCAGGCTGAAATGAGCTACACCCTTCTCTCCTTTGTGTTTTATCTATTGTGCCTATATGGTCTTTACTGCAGCAGTTCCTGTCTTGTTCCAGCACCGCCTACTTTTCTGTTTTTTCTGCTTGCACAAATATTCCTGTGATCCCTGCAGTTCCACCTGGCCATGAGGGCATCCATGAAAGCTCAAGAATGTAAATTATCTGTTCCCTGCAGCCCCTCCACACACAATTGTATGCAAAATTGTTTGGACTTGCTGAACCTGTAGCCCAGTTGAGGGGAGGATGACACATCCCCCCAGGTCCTGCAGGTATGACGACTGAGCAGGTATTTCCAACAGGCACATGCCCACACCATGATTCAGTGCACATGTACACACAGCCAGACAAATTTGTATCACAAACTTAGACAGTGCAAATTTTTTTTTCTTCCTCTTTGACTGTGAAAGAGATGAAAGCAAAAGAGATCTGGTTAGACAAACCATCCCCTTTGGGTTTGGGCACTCACACATGATGGCAGCAATACATATAGTATCTACTCAGAGGGGAAAATAAAAGTTGTTTGAGGAGTTTTTTTTTTTTAATACAGCCAATCCTTTTCTGTTCTGTTTGTCAGGACATCATGGCAAGAGATGTGTCATTCTAGAAGGTTCACGTGCTCTACACAGCAGCCTCAGACCTAAAAGCATTTCAGACACTTGCAAGGGTCCAAATCCTGCTATAGCAGACAGGTATATTATTTCAGTGGAGAGAGAAGTAAATCCTAGACCTGAATTTAAGTCCTGCTGTGGGATCTATCGAAATAATGAGACTTCTTAGTCCAGCTTCTTGCCCCATTTTTAGGTCCATTGTGTAGCACCACACCACTTTAAATGTCTGCAGCAGGAAGAAGCCACCCTAAACTCTCACAAGCTGTGCTGGGATGAGATGAATTGCACTTGGGAACTGAGAAGAGAAATACTCAGCATGTAGGAAATTAGAATAACAACCTTATATATACACATGTGCATTTACCGAGATACATGTCATCTTTTCTGTCTCTGCATTAAGACCTTCTGGAACAGACATCCCCCAGCAAGCTTGGTTTAACTCACATAACATGTGCAGAAAGCCTAGTAATGAAGAGGTCAGAAATGACCACAAATAGATCCCTAAATCATCTATCAGCTCTTTCTGCCACCCATATAAATGAATTGCCTGGAGAGGTTGTGGACTCCCTGTTAAAGACCAGACTGGATGGGACTGAGTAACCTGGTCTAGTTAAAGTTGTCCCTGCCCATGGCCGAGGGGTTGGAACTAGATGATTTTTAGGTCCCTTCAAACCCAAACCATTCTATGATTTTATGATCCTTTGCATTATTTCTTTGACAGTATATATAATTCATGTTTTGTAGCAGTGATGCTCCCAAAGGGAGAAGTAGAAGCCCTTGGAACCTGAGAAATCCTACCCTGCTTATGGTGTGGTATGCTCACATGGCCTATGAGAAGCAATGCTTCACTGTGCCAACTGTGAAGTAAACATTAGCTGAAAATAATTTAATAGTTCTGGAGTTTCAATACTTTGTTGAATTTTGACTGGGTGACTATACTCAATGCATGTGTGCTTTAACTGTAGCAGGATTTAGTCAAATTTTATTGTTCATAGACCTTTGTACTTATCTCCCAAAACCTCCTAGCTTGTTAGGAGTTGTTTCCTAAATTAACTACTTTCCTGGTGTGCAGTCAGACTACAGGTGGCTTTAGGAAAAGTGAAAGAGCATATTCTATAAACTCAACGGGATGAGAAAGTCAGTTATTGACCTATTGCAGGCAGATTTTACAATGTAGTCGTGGCAAATCAAGCTGGTAGGAGCAGCTCTGACACACCCAATGTAATCAAAGCACCCTAGAGTCAAACTCCTGGTTTCAGGTGAAACTGTTTTGTTCCCAGTTGTTAATCACAGGTCACTGGTGAGCTTGACTTTTAATGGTACTAGAGTCATCTTCTTTGTCCCACTTTTGTTCTCTGCTGTGGATTTCACAATGCTTTATAGCTGTGGTACTAGATACACTTGTGAAATTTCTGAGCAGTTGAGAACTTTGCAAAATGGAAAATAAGGGAACACTCTTGCCCTGTGAAGGCTTTGAGTAGCTCTGAGAGGCACCAAAACATAGCTGAATGTGCTTATTTGCTGGGGTTTCAGGGTAGAGGCAAGATAATCTTCTCTGCTGTGGATTTCACAATGCTTTATAGCTGTGGTACTAGATACACTTGTGAAATTTCTGAGCAGTTGAGAACTTTGCAAAATGGAAAATAAGGGAACACTCTTGCCCTGTGAAGGCTTTGAGTAGCTCTGAGAGGCACCAAAACATAGCTGAATGTGCTTATTTGCTGGGGTTTCAGGGTAGAGGCAAGATAATCTTTTAAATATCTATAGCTGAATGTGCTTATTTGTTAAGGTTTCAGGGTAGAGGCAAGATAATCTTTTAAATATCAGCCTTGGGATAAAAGTAAAAATTTAGGGTTATTTTTAGTTCTTGACTACTCTCTTATTCCATAGTAATTATTTAAAATGCTTTGGTTCCAGGGTTTAAAAGCATAATGCTGTATTGTATTGAGTAGCCTTTATCTGTCCTTGACAATACCATGGGGTTTCTCTTCTTTCTTCTTTAAAATGTGAATTATTTGTCTATTTTCCCTCAGATCAGCATAGAAGTGGTTCTGATGCTGCATTCCCAGAAACGCTCAGATCCCAGCCCCAACTCCAGCCAGCTGGAGCAAAGTACTTCCAAGCAGAGCAGATTCCAATGGCACACTTGGATAGAAGACCAGGCCCATCCAACCTGCCAGGTCGAAGAGGAAATTCAATCAGCCGACATCGTTTCGCCAGAGCAAACAATCTGGCTCTAATGCCAAGGTCTCGATTCACTGTGGGAGAAATAGAGGAGTATGAGTCAGAAGAAGAGACAGAAGCGATGGCACCAGTCAGGCCATTAGTTATATGATGAGCAGAGAAGAGCAGTGTTTGTATCTCTAGGGCCCTTTGTACACTGCTCCAAAGGAAATATCAAAGCTCTTATATGAAGCAAACCATGATTTTCCTACTGGGACCAGTGTACTTGTTCTCATATCACTTTCAAGTGCTGTATCAAGGTACTTAGTGGCTCAGAGAAGACTCAAATTCTTATATGTTTATATCAAGCTTTTTTCCTAACAAAACACTGCAGGAAAGAGGAGAACATGATCCTTGTAGAGGTTTGGACATGGATTTAAACAACAGTAGATGGGCACATACTTTGGTATGAGTGGAAGCTGATATTGCCTTTCTTCTGTACTATGGCCTGTATCCAGAAGAAAGGAAGATGTAAAAGCATCCTTGACACATGAATGCACAGTTTGGTGACTTCAACTTGCACTGAGCTTCTGACCTCAGAGTCTGAAGCTATCTGACTATCTCAGTAGCTGAGATAGTTCAGGAAAGTGTCAAAAACAATTTTTAGTGCATGTAAAAGTCACTGAAGATGCCTAAACAAGACCAAGTCAAAAGGATTTTTAGTAGACATTTCAGCACTTGGGAATCTCTCAGCAGCTCAGGTTTTGTCTCTGCAAAGCTGACTAAAGTCAGTTCCTGTGATAGCACACAACTTAAACCAATTTCAACATATTGGCTCCTATCACACCAACCTAGTAGTTTTGGATGAATAAAGGAGGTCTCCTGCTACATACAGATCCAGAGAACTCTTCAGGCAGGGGTGCTGCCAGGATGCCTGTTATGGACAAATGTGTGATGGCAAGAATATACACAATATTCTCAAGATTCAGCAAGTGGGAGGCTTCATTGTAGAGCATTTAAATCCATTCTCCACTCCCACCTTGTGTGCCCAAACGGGTGGACCATTCTTCACACTAAAATTGTACCAGCACTGTAGGAAAGCAAGAAACTGGGAGCCTAACCTTGTAGCCTGTTGACTAGCAGGAAAGAGAGGCTCTGTGTTTTGCTCCTAACATTTTGTAGTGTGTCTGCCTATATGTTGTACAGAGAAGCATTTTCTAAAAAGAAGCAGAAATGACCAGGGTGATATACACTGGAGCCTGTGACCTCCCAACCTTCC